GGGGATGGGCGTGGGGTTGCAGGACCGTGGGCGAGGTTCACAGGGTTGGGGTGGTGATCGGGCGTGGATGCCGGGGTACGAGGGTCCGAGGGTAAAACCCCCACCCTGGCTCGGGCCATGAGGATCCCCTCATGACAACACCGATCATCCGTGTCGTCCTCCCTCCGCCCTTCTCCCTTACTATTGATCTCCTCCTCCCTCGTCATCGATCTCCTCCTCCCTTCGTCCTCGTCCTCCCCTTCCCTCCATCATCGGTGTCATCCTCCCTCTGCCCTTCTTCCTTCACTCTCCTCCCTCGCTATCGATTTCCTCCTCCCTCGTCATCGATGTCCTCCTCCCTCCGTCCTTGTCCTCCCCTTCCCTCCATCATTGGTGTCACCCTCCCTCTACCCTTCTCCCTTCCCCCTCCTCCCTTGCCATCGATCTCCTCCTCCGTCCTCCATTCCCTCCCCCGTCATCGATCTCCTCCTCCTCGAGTCGTTGTCCTCCCCTTCCCTCCATCATCGGTGTCGTCCTCCGTCCGCCCTTCTCCCTTCCCCCTCCTCCCTCACTATCGATCTCCTCCTCCCTCGTCATCGATCTCCTCCTCCCTCCGTCGTTGTCCTCCCCTTCCCTCCATCATCAGTGCCTTCCTCCCTCCGCCCTTCTCCCTTCCCCCTCTTCCCTTCCCCTCCTCCCTCGCTATCGATCTCCTCCTCCCTCCTCCATTCCTTCCCTCGTCATCGATCTCCTCCTCCCTCCGTCGTTGTCCTCCCCTTCCCTCCATCATCAATGTCGTCCTCCCTCCGCCCTTCTCCCTTCCCCCGCCTCCCTCGCTATCGATCTCATCCTCCTTCCTTCATTCCCTCCCTCGGCATCGATCTGCTCCTCCCTCCGTCGTTGTCTCCCCCTTCCCTCCATCATCGGTGTCGTCCTCCGTCCGCCCTTCTCCCTTCCCCCTCCTCCCTTGCTATTGATCTCCTCCTCCCTCATCATCGATCTCCTCCTTCCTTCATCATTGTCCTCCCCCTCCCTCCATCATTAGCAGGGTTGTCGAGCTTCGGCCCCAAGGGCCCGGCGGGGATGTGGGGGTCGGGAGGTGGTCACCACCAGCCCCGGCTCCGGACCCCCCTAAAAAAAAAAAAAAATCAAAAAAAAAAATGAAAAATACAAAAAACTAGGGGGTGCGCAGCGGAAGCCTGCACCCCCTGGGACTAACTGCGAAAATGGAGTTTTGGCCCCACCTTGGACCCCCCCCTGGGGCTACACCGTCCCCTGGTGAGCCCAGGGTGGCCCTGGGCACGGGGCCGGGGGCGGGGCCGAGCGGGGTGTGGGGCCGGGGATGTCTAGGAGCAGGGG